CCCAGGCTGAGATCTTCCTCCACCTCTCCTGTATCTCCCCCTCCTGCAGAGAGTTCCTGGGGAGAGGAAAGGTCGTTTCTTAGTGAGGACTGCCACAGCTGCATGTATTACACATGTATGTTTGGCTGTGAAAGAGAGAGAGGTGTTTTTGTCAGCTTATCGTCCACCCTCAGATTTTAGAGCAGGTGATGTCATCACGCAAAATTCTTCATTAAACTTAAACTGTTTGAAAACATTAAAGATAATATATTAAGAGAACACCTTAATAGATCGAGGAGCGGTTTTAAGTTCTCCTCTTGCTCCAAGTCTTTGGAGGCTTTGAAGAGGAGTTTCTCTCCTCGTTTGAAGAGAAACCATCAAACGTTACAAAAATGAAAGTAAGAGCACAGTCCTGATTTGCAGAAGTAGTTAAGCACACAAAACGTACGGAAGAATAAAACAGAACAATGATAAAGACGTGGAGCTCAGCAATGCAGAAGCTTAAACAGTGTAACTTCCTCTAATCTTATTCATCTCTCTCCTATGTTGTTTTCCCAAATACAGAAATGTGCTTCATTGTCAGGGCAGCTTCTGAAACCACGGTTACCAAAGTATCACAGTTCATTAGTAATAATCAGCCTGGCTCAGCGATGGTCAGAGCGCTGGTAGCTGCACCAATCAAGTTTATCATCATTGTCTGATTCCAAATAGACGGCGTCGGCCTCGCTGTACTTTCATGTTGCACACTGGCAGCACAGACATGTGTGGGCAACACAGACATGTGTGGGCCTGCACAGGGAGTGGTGTTCCTGACTCATCCTCATCAAATGAGGAAACACAGGAGGATAGTTAGGACTGCTGCTGTGTTGTTGTTGTTGTGTAACTTTGTAAATGCAGACACGCGTGTTAGTAGCGTCTCAATTCCCCCTCTGCTGTTTTGGTCTTGTTTTTCAAACAAAGGTCAGAGTCGATCTTATGTCAGTAATCTGGGGTTATTGCACAGAGCTGCTGCTTTGCTTTCCTCCCCAGCACCTGTGTCATGGTTGCTTCCAGATGCTTTTCTCATACACTCACTGGCAGCTGTGAGCTCCATGACTTTTGTGTAGCTTTGCAGATGTTGCTCGTTGTAATCTCACAGACCATGAGATGTTCTAAAGAGACAGTCACATCCTGTCTCCATGACTCCCTGTGTTCCTGTGTCATGAAGTATACAAATACATTTACATGTTTTCATACATGTATGTCTTTGTGGTATTTTTCACTATTTGCACTGTTTAGTGATCTTATAAGTCAAATTGTAAAAGTGATATGCAGATGAGTCAGTTATGAAGCTGTAACTTGGAGCCCACATCTGGCCCAGCACACAGATCGCTCATGTGTTTTTGTCACTGTCTGCAGGCATTCGAGTGTTAGTGGATGCTAGAGAGAAGCTGCACATCCCATGGGGTAACACGTCCAACCAGCGGCATGGAAACACTATGATGGCATTTGACACTCGGTCGGCGATGGCTCACGGTCACGGCATGGTGGAGCCCAAAGTTTTTCAGCACTACCTGCCGTCAATCAAGGCCCTGTGGGCGGACCAGGGCATCCAGAATGCCTACGATCGGCGCAGGGAGTTCCAGCTGGTGAGTGAACCTGCTCAAGTCCAGTCAGGTGACACCTAAAAAACCTTAACTGGTATTCTCACCAAACACTCAGCTGAAATCGTTATTTAACCCTGTCATGCAGGAATTGTGACAACCTCAGTCTGGATTTTATTCTTTAGTGTTTTTATCCATCTTCAGTCATGAAAAGATGAATAAAAATCCTGATTGAGGTCGTCATAATGCATGACAGGGTTAAATGACAATAACTACAATGATACAGGTCATACATCTGTAGTAACATTAAAGGACCAGTGGGTGGCAGAGTTTGGGGCGACACATCAGAGTGTAGTGGTTTATGTGCAGGTACACCATCAACACTGACACAAACACAACAGCCTTTGAATAGCTGTCCACTGTAGTGACCAGTATGGTGAAAGGGTGACAGCAGGGGCCAAACAAGATAAACATTTATTGAACACTCAAACAATGTTTTTTAAACATAAAAGTGAAGAAAAACCGACAGGAATATGATTCCAGTTTAAATAAACTTAAAAAAAGAAACTTTAACTTTAAATATCCTGTCAAAATGATGCAAGTTAGAAATATGAACATGCTGCCAAAACCCCAGAAAAAGTAAATGAGAACAAACACAAGGTTGGAGCTGCATGTAGACGAGCTGGGCGCTGCTGCAGGAGTGGAGCTAATAAACTGTGCGGCCATTCAGTGTCTTTCCCTGAGTGCATCGTTACACTGCAGCTGCATCTGAATCTGCACAGGTGCAGCTCAGCAAAGTGCGCTGACTTGGTTCAACATTACTGCAACAGAGAAAGTGAGGCAGGCTGCACTGGTGCATTAGTGACAGCTTCACTTGAAACGCCTTCACCGCATAACACATGTCCATGAACTGACAGGTTTCCTTGCTAACCTCAAAAACTCTGAACTTTTATCCCGACTCAGCCAGTGGAGCTCTGCATGAAGGAATGTGGGCAAACTCTGAATCTATTTCCCACATAAAAGACTGAAACTGACGGTGATTTAAACTTTTAGCTCAGATAAAATGTACGGTCGCGGTGATCATTACATGCTCCATTTTTAGGACTTTACCACACAGCCTTTCCTGGTGTGTGATGCAGTGATGTGCTGTTGACTCACCGGTACATTTCTCCTGCATCTTTACTGCATCCTGCTGACTAGTCCACTTTTTTCACCGCACAGCACCAGCGCTCCATCTGTTGTAAGTCCAACAAGTTTGTCCCAGGGCAGTTTCATGTCGTTACACTTTGACATACGTTTTAAAAAATGTCTTTCCCTGTCGTTGTCCCGTGCATCGATTTAATGTTCAATATTTCCTCTCCACGGATGAAGATGGTCAGCTGTGCAATGTCCATCATGTCTACTTTCATCCACAGCAAGAGAGTATGCAGTGAAGTTTTTGCTTCTTTCACACAACTGTGTTCTTAAATCAGTGGCCATCTCACAAACCCGATCAGCAATCATATTTCTGCTCAGGCTCACATTTGCCAAACTCTGCGTTTTGTCTGGACACTAGACGTCGCACAGCTTCATCCTGCAGCTCTTCAGAGTGGTACCGGGCTGATTTGGCTCCTCTGCTACGATAAAACTTGCTTTCACAACAGCTTCACTTTGTGGTTTTGCTCTGGTGACAAACGCCTGCTGAAATGTCCGATTCTTCTTTAGCTCGTCTACTTTCTGTAGTTCTGCGTTTCGGTTTTTCAGCTTATCCTGGCGTTTTGTCTCGTAGTGCCGTCTTAAATTAAATTCCTTCATTACAGCCACATTAGCTCCACTAATAAGACTCACGGGTTTACCAGCATGTCTGTAAACACATATTCAGTCTCCCACCGGCGCTGAAAGGCTCTGCTTTCAGAATCGTTTCTCGCCACCATTGTGAGCGGCGAGCTTCACAATAACAGAAGTTTGGCTTGATTGACGCGGGAATGTTCCCAGGTAGCCTAGCGTTCAGCAAGGAGGCTGCAGCGCTGCATTATGGGATCTGTTGTCTGTCTGTTATTAGCGTCTCATATCGCCGGGCCATGCGTAACAGTAATAAAAAATCTATATAAAATGATCTGACTTTGACCTTTGACTTTGACCTTGACTTTGACACATGTGGGTTAGAGGATGTTTGCATTCACTGAATCAAACAACCCACTAGGGCTGCCACGATTGGTCGACTAGTCACGATTACGTCGACTATCAAA